AAGTCAAGTCATTGCAGTACAGGAGTGGGACTCGTCGTGGTGATGAAGACTCGTGCCAAAAAGACCCATCGGTCGTGCAAAGTCAAGTTTTGATGGCGCTTCTGCCTGCCAGAGTTTAGGACCCTTTTAGGATACGATGAGAGCATGTCCTCAGAAGAAGGGGGGAAAAACGCGAGATCCCGAGCGAGGGTTTCCGGCTACCGGGCTCCATCGAGCCGGAATTTTTAAAATTCGAAAACCAACCATTTAAGTTAAAATCCCTTTGAGAGGAGATGACCCATCGTTTTTTCTACAGCCGGCAGCTTGCTTGCAGCGTTGATACAAACCGTCATTATCAACGTCCACTCCTAACAGTGGACGCTACCTAGGCAAGCTAGGAAAAGCAACTTTCCGATGAACAACACATGCATCTATCTATATCTGTCTACAGCACTAGTTCTACGCCTACAGATTCGATGGGAAATCTGAAGCAAACCAGTCGGCAACTACTAAATAATAAATGCTTCCTAGATATATACAATCAACAGCGACATCTCCCTCCCCTCGCTCCGTAGCACCTCCACCGGCCGGCTGATCCTTTCCGCGCCTCTGCAAGGAACATTAACAGCTCATTCAATTTGAAAACGATTTTACGTTGACATTTGACAAAAACTCCGTCCATCTACGCACAGATCGGCCAAAGATTGCACCGACAGAACAGAAAAGATCATGAATTCGGGATAGGCACGGCCGGCATTTGCTGTTTGTGCATGGAACACGATGGTTTCTTCCCTAACCAAACCGGGCCATCCTCCCCTAAAAGATGGACAAGAAGACGTGCCTGTAAGCACAAGAACATATTCTTGGGCCTCTATGGTTGGCCGCCATTGGCTCTTCCAGGCCGACAATCCATCTCTGGAATGGAAAAAAAACTATGTTGGCAATCTAACTTCTTCCTTTGTCGAATATATCTATCTTCTCTTGGTGTGTGAGAGGTTTTCTGTACTTCTAGTTCCAGTTGCTCCTTTCTGTCGGTGCGTATATCTCCTCCGGGGATCCAATCTTAAATTGAGAAACACAAGAGAAACCCCCATACGCAACCCTGTAAAAATGCAACCAAAAGTCACAAATCCATGTAACAAGTCTGGTGTGTGTGCACAAGAAAATATTGCCAGACTAGGAAGGAAGCCAGGGAAATCCTAGTCGCTTTAGGAAGGAAGCCAAGCAAATCCCAAGTTAGTCGCTTTCTAAGCGTGAAGCTTTCTCTTAGTGTGTGATAACCTCACTACCAGTATCATGTATCGCTCCAAAAAGGTACATGTAGAATTTTAAAGAAGCTAATTACCAACGAAAGTGGAATGCATGAATCTAATAGTAATACAGCACCATAGCTCTATTCATGGATGGGATGGGAAATATTAAGTCAGCAACTAATAATGATCTAGATGGATACAACCAACAAACTTTCTATAGACACTCTCAATCGGCTAAAACTTTGTGCACGTACGCAAGGACTAACATGTTGGATTTGTTAATCCTAAGAATCTGTTCACCACACGGAACTGTTTACAAGTAGTACAGCGATAATAACTATTCACATTTTATCATATGATCATTCTTATGTCCACGTTGAATAAAGATTGCAGTAGCAGGAAAGAAAACAAAACCATGGACTTGAGATAGGCACGGCATTGGCTGCTTTCTGGACCGCTTGTGTAAGGAACAAGATGATTCATTGATCAACTCGTGCTCCTAGTACACCCCTAGTGGTCAAACAAAAAGGTGGATAAGAACAAGGCGTGTGTGTATGCATCAGGAAGGATCCATCTCGTAGGGTAGAACAAACACCATATTCTTGATGCCTTCTGGATGCCATCAACTACTCCAGAACGACTAAACCATCTCTGGAAACAAAATACTGTGGCAATAAATCCCTCTACCTTTATGAATACCTCCTACTCCTAGCACAAGGCTTTTATCTGCTTGTAGTTTCTCTCTTTGAGGAGTACATAATACATCTCCCTGTGGGGAATGGATCTAACCTAAATTTGCTCATGTACAAAATCGCGAAGAAAAAACGGTGTGCAACTGCAACCCCGTCTGTTTTGAGGGATTCATAGTTAAGCTTATTGTCCCCACATATTCTTAACATAGCAACTCTCAGAGGAAAGATAAACTACATGTATAGTAAGTATGATGCTTCTATATATCATAAAATTTATAGTTATGTCCTTGACATATCATCACATGATGTAAACATTACCTAAGATTCAGAAAAGGTAGATGAGTCTGTAAAATTACATTAAGATGCAATCAACCTAAGTATCACCGGATAAATTAAGCAGGCACAAATCCATGTGCATGTGCGTGTTACAGTTTTAAGGTTTAGCTGGCAGTCCTTCACTATCAGTATCACATCTCACTCCAAAAAGGTGCACTCGCTGTTTCAAAAGAAGAAAGGTAACTCCCAATGAAACACCTATATGCATCTAACAGCAAAACAGTATTACTGTGTTTACATTGGGGTGAGGGAGTGTAAAGAAGTCGGTACCTAATGAATAAATGGTTAGATGGATACACTTAACAGGCCCCTCCTCAATCAGCTGTAACTTTGTACACATCCGTAGGTACTAACTTAAGGAGTTCAAATTTGTTAACCACACGAAACTATCTACACAGATTATTTCGTGATAATAATTATATATGTTGACAGTTAACGTATGATCGTCGATATGTCCAGATCGACCAAAGATGGCAGCAGCAAGGAAGCAACACGGATCATTAATTCAGGATAGCCACACCATTTACTGTTCGTGGAGGAAACAAGATGTTTTCATAATCAGCACATGCCCCTCTGCACATCTATCTCCTAACAGACACAACAAAAAGGTAGAGAAGAAGAAGAAGGCACGCATGCAAGCAAGAGAAGGGACAGGTGGGGAACAAGATGAGGCCACTCCCGGCACAAACCTGCATCCTTCGTCCTTCGTCCCTTCTAATCTACACAATGGTGCTTCGATTTGAGATGAGGCCACTCCCACCAGGCATCTACAGAAACATGCATCCTTCGTCCTTCTCAAATACCTCGCCCAACCAGGTTGTTTTTTCTCCATGAAATTACTAAAGGAACAGTGTGTTAATTCAGTTTTGAGTAGTGTGTAGTCAAACACTCAAACCTTTTTGGTTTCACATATCCTTAGCCAAGCAATTCTCAGATGAGATTGAACTACCCATATGATCTATACATCATATTTGCACAGGTTCCAAATCATCTTTCTGAAAGAAAACTGTAAGGTAGACCAAACCTATGTTTTTAAGGCGGTAAGGCGATCTAAGGCGCTGGGGGGGCGCCTTATCGCCTAGGCGACGCCTAAGCGCCTAAGGCGGACGCCTAAGCGCCTAAGGCGGGCATATTTGTAAGGCGCTGGCGGGGCGCCTTATCGCCTAAGCGTCGCCTAAGCGTCCAAGGCGGGACGCCTTAAAAACAGAGGACCAAACCCCTACGGCCTACAGTATAAATAGGAACCTAAATCTGCATATATGCGAGCTTGAAGCCAGGCGGAGGGGTTGTACATCCACTCCTCCAACCAAATAAGCTAGGCTCGTTTCCTAGGTTTCGAAATCATTGGCGGTATCTTGGACATATCATCACGTGATGTAAATGTTCCTTAAGATTCAGCCGAGCTAAAAGGTAATAATCATGGAGATACGATATATCAAAAATTTAAGCATCAACAGAGACCGCCGCCGCCACCGCCTGGACTCGACCATCACCCCCAGCAGAAGCATAAAAAATCAGAAGTGACAAATCAATGTAAAATGTTTAAGAAGAGAAGACTTACGAGGATTAGCCTAAAGGTCCAAAATCCCATCAATTTCCTTGAAGTGGAAAAGGCTTGCAAAGAGGGCATTCAGCACAGAGTGCTCGTCCTCACAGCATGACTGGCCAGTCTGCTGCAACATGACATCAGAAGTTTCCTGGTGATTGTGGATGGCATCGATCCGTCCAACTCCTAACCATAAGGCCCAGCAAATTTATGATGGCTTCTGCTGGAGAAAAAAACACTCTTTAGTAATGGCAGAAAGTAAAGCAAAAATGCAACAATAGAGAACCCATTCTGATTTAAGTTAAAACAGGAGTGCTCAGAACTGAATCAAGAAGATACAGGTTGAGTCATTGCTTACCCTGATTCTGGAATTAATTGAATAAATCATGCTTGGAAGATATCTTGCCTCCAGTAGAAACTTTCCTAAACTAGTAAAGATTGATTGACATATCTTCTCTTTAATATTCAGATAATCTGCATCAAGTGTTGAGCTTACCTGCTATATTTGCTTCTGGTAGAGTTATACAGATAACCAGCCAACATATGGTACAGGAAAGCTTGCTGCTTCTCTTCTGTTACTTATTCCAATAGTAAAGTTCATTAACAGAAAATCAATCTGTTCCAGAAATCTACAAAGACTACTCTCTTGACTCCTCATTGTACAGATCCAAACACTTCGGTAACATTGTGAACACTCTTGAGCACAGTGACAATAAATCAACTGACACTTGAAGTGCAAATAGCTTTATTTTCTTCTAATTTGAAAGAAGAAAAATAAAGGAAGTGCTGAGGCAACAGGAAACATCTCAGTTATCAGCTAGTTGTGAAGTGAACCTAGAAAAATATTCCAAGTTTCAATCATAATTTTACTTTTCTGAGTTGAACCTTAGAACTCAATCCAGCGATTTTCTCACTTCATGTACCACATACTTTCTCATGTAGCTACAATGTATCATGTGCAAGATGTGAAACGACCACAAAAATACACACAGCCACCTTTGCTAAGCCCTCTCTCAAAAACAACCAGCAAGTTTCACAGTACAATGCCGCCTCTTCTAAATTGAATCAACGTGTTTCTGAGCCAAGAACTTTGTGCCTTACAATAAGTTAAGCATTATTGCAACAGTACAAGAGATAAGGTCACATTTTGCACCTGATAAAACAAAACATTACTTAAACTCCAAGGTGAGAGTGCTATTTCTGAAATAGGGCAGCAAGCTCCCCCTTTTCAGCCATGGATGAAATAATATCACATCCGCCCACAAGTTCTCCTCCAACAAAAACCTGTGGGAAGGTTGGCCAGTTGCTGTAGGTCTTGAGGGTCTCTCTCAACCCATGGTTGTGCTCCTCATCAAGAATATCTACGGATGCAAAATCCACTCCATGTGCCTCCAGGATCCCCACCACTCTTTGCGAGAACCCACACTGGGGAGCACTTCTTGATCCTTTGATGAAGGCAACCACTTTATTTTCCTTCACTAACCGATCAATCAACTGTTCAAGTGGCACAGTTAGCTGAACATGGCGACCAGGAGTCAAACGCAAATCTGCAGGTCTCTGTGGAGGACCGATCCAGGTGTGGTTCCCGGCAACATTCCCTGGTGGCGCCTTGCCAGTGGCTGCTATGTATTCTTCCATCCATGATTTCCAGGCATTAGTCAGGACACTTTTATCTGGTGTTTCCTCGTCTGGTATTGCAACCTGTAGAAATAAGTGTTATCAAATCCTCAAGTAGTATGTCAAACAGTCTTGCTAAGTCTCAGTCGATTGAAACTTAATAAAGTCTCAGTCGATGCTATATCTGTGAGATCTTACATTAAGATTCGTGCAAAATTTTCTTTTCAGTTTTTTTCTTTTTCTCAGTCGACTGAGACCTAGCCACACCCTCAATGTCAAAACGTGTAGAGAGATAACTGGGAGTTGATACGTAGTCATTAGTGATTAAGTGTGTATAGCAAGACCGTGGGACAGGGCAATCATTTGCAGAAGTGTATAGCAAGACCGTGGGATAGCAATCAACCCTTAAGGTAAACTTGTTGAGAAGAAACCATGATCACTTCAGAAGCCTTCATCATCAAACACTACAGGACACCCTTTGCGCAATCCAGTTCCATGATGTAAATGAAATCCTACTGAATGGGAGATGCGTAACTGTGTATACCTTGACGGAGGCGCAGAGGTCAGCGGGCACCTTTCTGCGGTGCCCCTCGACGCTGGCCCTGACGTTGCGCGAGATCCCGAGAAACTGCAGGTCCCCGGCGGGGTCGAAGACTCCGTAGACCCCGGGCCTAGGGGGAAGCGCGTCCTCGTCGGGCAAAGTCTGGGTGGGCTCCTGCGGGATGGGGACGGGGGACGCCTCGGAGAGCTTGCTGAGGGCGGAGACGGACAAGAGGGCGCGGGGCGCGCGGCGGAGGATGGGCGCGAAGCGGAGAGTGCTGGAGGATGGGGTGGCTGGCACCGGGAGGAGGCGGAGGGAAGCGGCGGCGGCCGTGGAGGCGGTGGAGGTGGCCATGGGGAAAGTCATGGTAGCGCGGTTGAGCCGGAGAAAGGTGAGGTGGAGGTGTGTGGAGACGATGATGTCCAGCCGCGTGTTCTTCTTCTCGAACTGGGCTGGATGACACACGCCGACGGCCTAATCGTTGAGAAAAGCCCAACTTTTCAACAAATTGGACTACTTGCTCCTATACGCAAAATGTTATTTTTTTTCTCGGTAAATACTCTGGGCCAGCTTCATTCGCCGGTTTTCATTTTTTGTCTTATTTCCCCTTTTATTTTTTCAGGTCATTATATCCCTTCCGTACCAATTATAAGATGTTTGGATATTTCAATATGAATTACATACAGACTAAAATGAGTGAACAAACACACTAAAGCGCGTCTATAAACATCTGATTCATAAAAAGTATAGAACATCTTATAATTAGCCATTATTTTTAAATTTTCATTCGATTTTCTACTGTGTACACAACACTTCTTGAAGGAAAAATGACGGTTTTTCAGTATACATTGTACCTTTAACACATGATAAACATTTTTTAGATACACAATGAACATTCTTGAAATACACTTTTAGTCTTTTATTTCAATTTTGTAAGTTGTTATAAAACATTTTCTCAATATAATTTTTTACTAAGCCACCAATAGCTGTTTTTTAGATGAGTGAGCGCCACGCTAAAAAAATAGTGGTCAAAGGGTGTAGAGTGAGCGTTGAACCTGTTATAACGACAGCTCGGCGTTGAAGACGGGGAATAGGAGGTCCCAATCCTGACTATTTTCTCGCAAGAAAAATCCTAACTATTTGACGCACCATCATAAAAAGCCTCAAATAGGTGGACTCTTTGTCCCGAGCCAACTCTTTTCTATGGGCACATCGTCGAGGCGATGTTTGGACATTTTGTGTGCCTTTTTTACTTTAACCTTTTGGCGGACAGTTTTATATCCAATCTTCAAAGGATTTTTCCTTTTCTTTTCATTTTTCTCTTTTCTATATCTTCATGTCTTTCTTTTTCCCTGTTTAAAAATAAATATAACCATTTTTTGATAAATACATTGATATTTTTAATACATGATTTAAAAAATGCAAGATCCCTTTTCAAAAATTTATCATCTTTTAAAAGCAAAATGTATTTTCAAATTAATGAATAGTACAAAATAACAAAGGAAAGTGAAAAGAAAAGAAAAAAGGAAAAATGCGGCTTTTGCTGGGCTTGTTGTAAGCAACTTTTCCTTTACGTATCGTTGTGCCATCAGATATTTTTTTGGCTAAATAAATCAGATTCATTTTTGAGAACTTGTTGTGCCATCAGATATACCATCAGGTATATCGTTGTGCCATCAGATATACCAGGAGCTTTGCCTAAAGGAAAGCCTAATGGGCCGGGCACTAGCGTTGTCCACTAAAAGTGATGTTTTTTCCTTTTACATTTACTTTCTAATAATGTTGTAATTAATAGAAAAGCATTATGTGTAAAAATAGAAATGTTTACGTATTAAAAATATTGTGGTTGAAAAGAAATGTTCATGCGGTAGAAAAAATATATCCCTTTATATTCTTAAAAATGCCCATACTTGTTTTGAATGTTTATGGCGTGTAATGTTCATGTACATGAAAAATATGTTAATCTATATAAAAATATTCTTATATTCCTAAAAACTATTCAGATATTGACATAAAAAGGGAAAAGTTAAATGACACGAATATAAAAACCAACAAGAACAGAAAAACTAAAATTGGAGACAAGAACGATGGTGAAAAAGGAACAAATAAATCAAAAGAAAAGAAAAAGAAGCATTTTGTTAGGCAAATAAGAAGAAGCAAATAAAAAATATAGCCGAGGAACCCCTATTGGGCTCGGCCCATCCACCAGGCAACGCGAGCATAGCGACAATAATGCCCACAATGGGTGCATATTTCACACGTGCAACACACATCTGGCTAATGCTTCAATCACACACGTATAAGGAAACCACGACAATCCGACGAAAAATCATGCATTCAAAAATCCGACGAAAAATCCCGCAAGAAAAAAAAAACGACGGAAAAGGGACTCACGAAGGTTGCATGCAACATAGCCACCGTATGGAAGCTGACCAACATTGAAAAGTATTACTTGGGATTAGGTCAAGGGGGCGTATGATTCAACGGTTTTCTCACTGAAGAGAGTATGAGCGAAAAATAAATATAATATAAAACAAAAGTGGTAAAAGAAATTGAACAAAAAAGGCGCTTAATGATGCAAAAGATGTAACATAATGTAATGTAATGTAATGGATACCAATCACAACTATGTTATGACTTGACGTAGAGTAATTCCAAACTTGATTGTGATATATCATCCATTACAATTTGATGACGTAGTAAAAATACATTGTAAAGGGAATATAAAAATCAAGCAAGAAATTTTGCTATTCTCTAGTCTAATAAATCCACTTGCACAACATGTTCCTATCTACGTTGAAATGCCTCCACCAAGATTATGTCTTATGCTTCCTCTTATCTTCATTTGGTATTAAAGAGGTAATTAAGCCGCTCACTCATCAACATTAAGGACTTAG